TATAATTATGTGTCAAAAAATATATAAATAATATGAATTTTTATTTTAGTGTATTACATTTTATTCACCAGAACAGAATGCCAAGAGAACTCGCAGAAAAGCATAAATCATCGATATTTATAATTTCCTTATAATTAACAAATTTGTACATAATATATTTGTAATTAATAAACATTAATATAATGTATATTTGAGATAAAAAATTATTTATACTTTGTATGGCGCAATATGTAATTTTGTATATGTAATTCAATTGATTTAATACCGCATATCATATATTTCTATTAATTTAATGAATATAATTTACATATGTTATAGAAATTTAAATGTACATAAAATTTATTTAATATCACTTAAAATCTTATTAAAATTTATATATTTTTTTTAACTTCTGAAGAGTTTTCAAATACATAATATTCATAATAAATGATTAAAATAAAATATCTCTGAAAGAATGAAGAATTTGAAATTTAGACTTTTTTAAATATATTTTGCGTTCTTAAATTCAAAAAAATTTCGTAGGTTATGATTATTCTGTTGAGAGTTAGCCGCTAGCGTTTATTGGCAACATTAATTTCGTAAGATATAAGTTGGCTACTATTGACACAAATAACGCATGACAAGCGTTAATAACATCGCTGTAAAATAAAAACGCGCCATTCTTGGATCAAAAATCAAAAATGACGTTGACAAAGTAGTTAAAGTGTTGATCCTAAGATACGTTTAAATGCAGAATATTATATGTCAAATACGGAATATTTGAAACTTGCGCTTGTTTTAGCTATTATATATAGCGGATTTAGATAACCAATAAAAAATCATTGCCTCAGTGACGTAACAGGAACCCTGATATTTCAGGCTTTTCAAGCCTGTTGATTGGCTACGAGACAGAGAGGTTCTCGGACCTCTTTATTCTACAGCCAATCAACAGGCTTAAAAAGTCTTACGATATATGATATATTAGGCTAACTTGCATCACTTGCACATCCTTTCGATTTGCAGGCAGGTGGCTTATCACTTGGCATTTGCTCAGTTGTCGACAGTTGTCGATGATTGTCGATTTGTTGTGGCTGCTGTTTCTAGTATTCCAATTTTCCACATTGCTGAACGTGCTTACTTGTAGAACGTTATTTCAGAAAGTTTGTAGTACGTTGCATTTTGTTGCATTTATATCTATAAGGTATTTATCGTCGAGAAAATAAGTTTTTATTTTGTAAAATATATCGTAAATTGAGATATGTTATCATTTATAAAGTTATTGCAGTATGTAACATATACCACATGTTACACACAACAGTAACAGTGTTTTTCATTGACAGAACTAGTGCGCACACAGTGCATTTTAAAGCCGTTGTACACAAATCGACATAAAGATGTACGTTTAATAAAAATATAGAAATGAATTAAACCGTGAAATATTCAATACATTTTATTGTACTATTTGATAAATATACACGTTGGGCATTTTGTCAATTAAGATATCTCGTTTTTACATTTAGATTAGTATTCTAGTATAAAACAGTTTTAATGCACTCAATGCGCACCAGTTCTGTCAGTGAAAAACGCTATCAATTACTTAATTATAATATTTCATAATTAAGTTTGTATTTTTTATACATCACATATGGCTACTGATAGCATAAAATACTATAAAATTATAATTCAATAATATATATAATACATTTTTTGTAGGCTCTTCAGTGATATATCTGTCAAATAATTTTATCAATATGTCAGAGAAAGTATTATTACCAGGTAAGTTACATCAAACTGATGTAATAATAGTGGCTGTGTTCAGTTATATGCATAATGTGCATGAGGTATCACGTTTAATTTTGCGAACAACAATGATAAAATGATACCTTGTGCACATTATATGTGTAATGGATCGGAGCTAGTGATAACTGCAGAAAAACATGATAATAAGAATATGAATGATAATATAAAGCTATATGTATAGAGGAAAGGCCCCTGTTATGAGATACTGAGTTCATTTTGGGTAAATGCTAGAAGTTTAAGCATAATTAAAAAAAATAATAGGTCATTTTGAAGAGAATATAATAAGCTTTAAGATAGTGCTGTATACAATTTAATTTAAATTCCACTTTTTTTGAAAATTAAAGAAATGTAAAAAGTGAGCAAATTGCAAAGTCAAAAAATTGTGCTCCTAATATGAGATACTCCGAGAAATAGATAATAAAATACAAAATATATCAGTATTGTAATTAAAAAACTTTATTTAATGTTTCTTAAATACAACTACAGCCAGAGTGCGCGAAAAATGAATATGCAATATATTATACCCAGAACTCATCTTCAAGTAGTTGAAATCAAACACCGCAGAAATAGGCACTCAACGTTCATTCCTTTTTATTATTGTACAATAACATTTGTACTTTAGCAACGATTTTCACTATGACATGGGAGCATGGATTATTTCATGTTAGAAATACTTTGGATATCTCATATTACGATTTCTACGCCTTATGTTTTATCAAATCTAACTTCTATAATTAAGCAATCCAACATATCATGTATTTTTCTATTAGTACGACTTTACTCTATCACTACATAAAGAATTTATTGCCAAATATTTACTCTATTACTACATGAAGAATTTATTGCTAAATATTTATTTATTAAATAATAAACAATGTTTAAAGGCTCATCTCAATGAAACTTGAAGACATCCAAATTCTAAAATCTTTTTTTTACAATGATTACAGGCAGACATGATCTATAATGAATTTTCTACTGAATAGTTTTCAATTCAAGAACAATAAATTCATGGAACTAATCTATTAGTTTAGCAGAAACGCTGTTATCTCATAATAGGGGGTTTTCCTCTATAATTAATTTTTTTATTTATATTATAATATTAACAGTATAATTAAATAAATATCCAATAAATATTTTACAAGATATCTATACATCAGACAAGTATGGTAATGATGAGACAGGAGATGGTTCAGAGAGTAACCCCTTTAAAACTATCTTAAGAGCGATGCGTCATGCCAATAAGGAACCTTTTCCAACTATCTATCAGGACTCTCGAGAAAATAACAAAAAATACGAACCAGCATCTAAGTCTCAATTAAAGAAAATACAAAAGATTTGGGTTAGAGAACAATATAAGAAAGACGAGAAGGAGAAGAAATTATTGGAAGATGAAGAAAAGAGATTGAAAAATCTTGGAGAGGCTAAATCAATTGTTATAGAAGAGGATAAGACTCTACCAGAAGCAAAAGAAATCAAGATAAAACAAGCTGTTGATCACAGAGATCAAAGAGTTAAGCTATATGGATGGATACATAGACTAAGACGGCAAGGTATACAATATAAATAAATTTGTTTCTATCGAGATAATTTATTGAACAATTTGTACTATAGGCAAAGCCCTCATATTCATCACATTGCGAGACGGAACAGGTTTTCTGCAGTGTGTACTTACTGATAAACTTTGTCAAACATACAATGCCTTGACCCTTGCCACGGAAGCTGCTGTTCAACTGTTTGGAATCTTGAAAGCTGTTCCTGAAGGGAAAAATGTACATTTGACATTTAATTAATACATAATATATAAATTATTTATGTATTGTTTATTTGGATAATGATATGTTTATACATTATTTATTTAATTTCAGGCACCTGGTGGTCACGAATTATCTGTTGATTATTGGGAACTTGTTGGACCGTCACCTCCTGGTGGTGCCGATTCAATTTTGAACGAAGAAGCTCTTCCTGACGTACAATTGGATAATAGGCATATAATGATTCGAGGCGAAAATGTATAATAACATTTTAATGCTCTTGTAGAGAACGTTTAATATAATCTTTATTAAATTTAAATCATT